GATTTGACTTGATTTAATTCTTCCGAATCTTTCTTTAAGCAGTTAGGTCTTTTATTCCACAGTTACATCATTCTTCTGTTTGGGTGGGGGATGGGAATTTATACAAATGCATTGTGTGGATCGGTGATCAAGTGGTGAACTTAATACGTCGAAACATCTGGGCGAAGAGATTACATTGTGAGAACATAGTTTCTTTGTACTATTTGATGGTGTTTATTTTAACCATCCAGGATATATACATGGCTTGAGCTTGGGAGTTACACTTAGCAATTACACGCTTACTTGAGCAGTGAACTAATACAGCAATAACAACGGTGAAAATAATAATTGTTCAGTGGTTAACTGGATTAATGAAGAACTTCTCAGTGCTTCGATAATGCAGGATTACTGCGGGATCTCAGTAAAGATTTATCGAGTTTGTGATAATAAACAGAGCACTAAGTGGAATCGACCAGTCAATAAAGTACATATATAACATTATTAGCTTGTTTGTTTACTGTATGCTGCAGTTTTCGCGGCACTGTAAAGGATAGAAGGATAAAGCTCTTGGCGTTGATCAATCCCTGAGGGATGCTCCATGCATTCGACTTCATCAAGCATCGTTTGGAGGTGATTGAATGCATGCCTTTACAACGACTCGCGGTGGCCTACCGATGTATCGAGCCGGTGCCCCTATCTCCTCAGACAAGTCTAGCACCAATTTTGCGACCCGGGGAGGATGGGGGAAGGAAAGCTTGGTGAGCCATAGGCGCGGAGACCGATCCCAAGCGTGCGTTTCTGGGCGCCCCCGACCACTGCGCTTCACGTGCTCCCCATGGCAGAGTACTATGCGAAATCATCCAAAATGATGATGAGGTATTTTGCAAAGCTCCACATGGCAGGTGGCTCAGTAGAGAAGTTTTACACCAACCTTTTCTTTCCCGTAATCCCAATCCCGGACCCAGAAATCCTCACTCTTTAGAAAAAGAAATGCCAAATCAATGAAATAAGTCGCGGGTGGTTTTAGTCCAACCATGATCTGTGAAACTGTCTTACCGTGATTTGTAAAACAGCTGCAGCTACCAGTGAAGGTATCTTTAGCTATAAACACGTCCATCAAATATAGGTAGATGGTCGTACTCGAGGACGCCTCCACGGTTCTGGTGTCCCATAATATGATCTGGCCATCCATCTTTCGTCATCCATATGTGTTCGCCTAGGTCTCGAAGATGAGATAGGTTTCGATGATCAGAACTTCTCATTCCGGCTAGATATTGTTCGTCCTACTTATATATCAGAAGACATCGTTCTTGTCCTCTGTGGATGGTGCACAGAATTTTCGACTTGGTTGAAATATTGGCTCATGTCTCCGTTGCACAACAGAGCACTGGGAAGATTGTTGAATCTAAAAGGTGAACGCCTAGTTTTGGATGCTTAAGTTGGTCGGTGACTTCTTTGAGTGGCCCGAATGTGGCCCAAGCTGCTTTTCTTTTTCTGTCCAATTCTTCCTTCACGTTGTTCTCCTCGTCCATCGAACGTCCAAGGTACAAGCAGGAGGTGGTCTTTGTCATTGGAACCACCCAGTTTGATCTGTTGATCTTTGAACCATGGGATTTTCACGAACGAAGTCGTCTTCCGATTTATGAGTAGTCCGGTCTTTTGTCCCACATCGCTGACCTCATTAATCGTCGTCTCTGCTTCGATGCTTCTTGGAAAGATGACGATGTCGTCAGCAAAACGAAGATTTGATAGGAATTTTCCATCAATACGAATACCCTTCTCATCACAATTTACTGACTTCATTATCCACAGTAATGAGGGCTAAACAGCCTTGGCGACATTGTGTCACCCTCTCAGACCCCATTTTCCCATGGATATGGTAAGAGGTCGGCAGGAAAGCTGTATTTTCGTAGTGCAGTTCCGATAACAATTAGATAGAATTCTTATTTGGGAGTTAGCTATTTAGTCGACGAGCGCTCGTAGAATTGCATTCGCTTCGAAATTGTGAAACGCTTTTTTCTAGTCAACAAAATTCAGGATTACGTTGAGGTAGTATTCCTGAGAAAGCTCCATGACCTGACCACACCCGACTTCTTTCATTGTTCCGTGATTTTTTTCTTGAAGAATGGTGATTTCTGGGATCAGAATGGGGATTGGAGAAAGGAAAAGGTTGGTGTAGAACTTCTCCGCCGTCGATTCCACATTATGGCAGAAAGTTTTGGTGATCCTATCTTCAATATGCATTCTTTCTCGATAAGCTTGCACGAGGTTGATAAATATATTTAAAAATAAATTGAAATTTAAAAAAATAAAAAAAAGATCCTATCTTCGCTTATTGGAGCTGAATGTGAAACATTACAGTCGCACAAGTCCTGAAAGCATTTTGTCAGATCGGTTCTATCTTGTGCTGCTTCTAATAGTTTCTTCTGTCTGCATCAATGTAGATCTTCTTTCAAAGCTCTTCTGCAACTGGTATTCATTGCTTCTTATGTTAGATGTGTTGCAGTAGGATCAAACTCCAGTTTCTTTCTCTTCTCGAGGAACTCTTTCGTGGTAATGGAGATACGAGTTGATCATCTTGCTTGAGGAACTGGGACGAATTCGACACAACTTTTAAGTCTTTCGACAAATAGCTTGTAGTTTTCATTCGGGTCTTCCTTTACCAGCTACTGGTTAGTTAATTGGATACTTGAATGGCCCGTCCTAATTGGTTGTACGGGTGCCAGCATAATCGCCATCTTTTCCGAGTTGTGCTGGTTTAGCCAATGTGTTTCTCTGGAGCTCTGTGGTCAACCACGCCAAAGTCTGCCGCAAGTCGTCGCCACCACAGGCAGCCATCGCCTTTGTGGATCAGAAGGAGATTTGCCACCATTCGACTAGTTTGGTAGCAGGACGGTGAGGGATCCAGGCATTAGTTTACTCTTAGCTGGGCTTCCTGATGGATACGTCGTGTTTTTTTGGTTAATGACACAAATTCTTTTCTAGCTTGCAGCTGAGTCGAAACTTCTTGCGAGGAAGGCGGTGATCGGATCTAGTAGAGAAAGATGGGACTAGCGGTGTGCCAAATAGACAGCATCATCTCTTTGTGAGAATATGGTCGATCTGGCCGTTAGGAGACTCCCATGCCCAGCCGTCGCCGCCTTTCTTTCTTCTGGAAAAACAAATTTTTATGGAACAGGCGCATTGCATGTTTAATATATAAAAGTTTTTAATTGTTCTTTTGTAGACGGTCTCGTTTATTTTCTAGAGTCGAGAATGTGGTGTTGTTTGCACAGACCTATTTCGAGGTCGTATTTCAGGAAGCAGTACATGATAGCCTATTGTCGTACGTGTAATGAACTATGGTTAAATGATACGCAGACAAACATGGCGCATAATGATACTCAGGCGAGGACACAATCGCGCACGATCGCCAATCATGACATTGTGTGTTCGCATCAGCGAACAGCAAACGACAAATCGCACCGACGATCGTCAACCTGTAGTGCCGTGACGAATCGGAACTGAAATCCAGTCTATAAGCATCGTTTCCGTCATATTCGTTGTTAGGCGTCACAAAGGGTGACGAAAATGAATGACTGACAATGAAACTAACGTTGCTTTTTAATTTTAAAATTCAAACGCATTCATTTTAGAATAGTTAACTCTACTATCTTTTTTCACAACTATGCTTTCGTTAATCGAATATTTATTTTGAATGTTAGTAAGTGCAAGGATTGCGAGATTCTACTACAAGGCTGCTAGATTGCTTGATCATTTATTCGCAAGAATCAATGCTATTCTGGAAGAATGTTGACTGTACGACAATATACCACCCCCATCCGATCCACGACGGATAGTGAGTACCTAAAATGAAAAGTGGCTCAAAGAACGTCTTAGGTATCCGCCATTCCAAGGAAACCAGGCAAGCTCCAATCAGGCGAGAAGTTCAGAGACCATCAAGACGATAACCGCCCGTTCTCGGCAATTCTGTCAAAGATGGCTTCAAGATAACGAAGCGAATAATATGCTTAAGACCGTGGGACAAGTGGAAATGAGCCACTGAAATATTGATATGTAAGTGAAACGTACAGGTGATCTAATACTGGTAGGTAATTATGGTAGCATTAATTACCGGAGCACCAGTGTTGTGTTACAATTTCTCAATTTCCTTCGATGCCATTATTTTAATGTCTATTTTTCATATTTGGTTCATAGCTAACCACATGATTGCATTCGTGGACGTAGTGATAAGGTATTCCCAAACTTTTAATAAAGATTTCCCTCAAAGTGGTTTTCAAAGTTTCTCAGGTTTCACTAATCGGCATCGACAGCATTCAGAATTTCGGCATCGTCGATTTGTTGCGTGTTCTGTTCGTCGTTTCTGCATCTTACGACCAGATTCGTTAGTCGATCCGATGGCAACTGTATCGTCTTCCATTCGTCTTCGATATTGGTCTGGGGACAAAGAATTGTTCCGTCAATGTGAATACGTCATTCAAGCACTCACCACGAAACCTGTATGCTCTCCGTTGGAATGACTAGCAATCTGATGTCATGCCGTCATTGAGTGTTTGCCTAGAGTCAAACACCACCAAATGTTCGTAGAACTCCTCTAAAGTCAGTAAATACCGGGTATCGGAAAAAGATACCCGACTTACGGCCGCATCTTCACATTCGAACCCAAATGAACAGGGAAGACTTTACAATTTCGTGGTTATTTAAAGATCTAAAACCAGTGAATGATAATATGAAACCCCATAGTTCTTAAAAAACTCTTTACTCTTTGAAAAACTGGTTCTGGACGACGTTGTAGTTACTGGGATTTCGCAGGAAAAGTTACTGATAACAGTTTAAACCTACTGTTTCCTCTGCCAATTATTTAAGGAAGACCTTCAAAAGACAATGTGTTTGGAATCACAGCGACTGGCTTTCCATTCTTCTGGAACATTTTTGACAATTTAGAATGTCCTTCTGCCATACTAACTCTTTTTTCAAAGTGACTGATGGTCGAAAACGTTCGTTCAAATCCTGCTAATTGAATGGAGCCGCTTTCAGACCGAATCATGTGCGATTCATTCGGTTATCGTTTGAATTCCGACCTCTTGGCGTTCGTCGCCGAGCGAGGCGTTGCAGCAGTGGGCGGAGCATCCAGGGCGAATGTCACGCCCATGAGAATTTCTTGCGTCTGGAGAGCCGTCCCATCCACTGCCACCAGTTCATTGCGTCTCGGACTCACTTGTGCCCCTTCTGAAGTTCACCTACGGCGTGAACAGCGCCACGACCAGCGCAGCGATGTTACGCTTTGCCTTCGAGGCGCTGGTTGCGCTGAGTTTTTTTCAACTCGGTGAGTGCAGTCAGTTTTATTAAGTTATTCTTGAAGGAAACATGACCTGTTTTGAGATCTTCTAGACTTCAGTTTATGGCCGTTCAACGAATATTTCGATGCTCTTGTGCCTTTTTTCGATGAATATCCATAATGACGTTTATCAGTATTTGCATCTGTCTGTGTGCAAACTGCCGAACGTTTCTGAATAGATTTTTCTGCCGGCTTTTCCAGTTCTTTTCTGTCGTTCCTTATTTATAGTCACGATGAAAAATCTGGTGGTAAAGAGAACGGACATTGGAAAACTTTTCACTAGTACAAATGAATAGGGTTGCAGTGGGAACAGTATGGTTGAAGAGAAGAAAAGAATAGAGAGGTAAAACCTGGTGATTCAAGGCAGATAAGAACAGAATTCTACAGTCTTTTATGAAGCGAGAATTATACATCTTAAATTCAGATGTCCATTCTAAAACAGGTTGAAGACTTCTTTTTCGAAAAGACGACCGTAGCTGGGCGCAGTATCTTAATTATTAAACTTTTTCTTCCATTTCGAGAATAACTGCCAATTTCTGTGGTCGGAATCAGTTGCGTTCCCTTGCCACTAATCCTTTCGGCCGCTCCTCGGAAACTGTCCGTTCTGTCAACAGATACAATTTCGAATAAACAACCAAACCGCCATTATCGGTCCGTGGCCTTCTATCTTAATCCAACTATCGCGTTACGGTAATCTGTAAGGAATAGTCCCCATAAAGTGTCAAGCGTCACAAGATTTTTTCATTCTTAATAGGTAACTGTTGTCAAAAAATAAAATGACATCCCTTATTTGACTTTTCTTGTATTTCTTTTCTTTTCTATTTTTTTTTCTTTCTATTTTATTTCTTTTCTGCATTTCTTTCGTGAAAGCAGGATTTTATAGATTCTTATTATACTGAATTCATGTGGGGACACGCTCGCATGGGCTTCTTATATAAGCGACGACTTTTTTTAGCCTTTCGATTTGCCCCATAATCTTTCTAATGAGTAATGCCCTCATTTGCTTTTGGATTCTCTAGAAACGTTTTCTTTTGCTTTTATAAAGCAGACGACAACTTTCTGTGGCCGTCCTTCTGGCCAAAGTTTTCAGTAGTTACACGGCGTATGTTTCGCAACGAGTTTCGGCAGTGTTCAATGAAGCTACTCGTCATTCGTTTATCTCGAATTCCTATAGCCATAACTCAAGCGGATATCGGCTCTTTCAGCAGATATCCGTAAGCGGGGCGACTAAATCATTTTTTTCTTTTCATGCACAATTATGTCGTTGTTGAGTACTGGTTTTGGTAGTGGCTCGACAAAGGCAACGGCCAGTCAGCCAATACCTACAGTAGGAAATCGTGCTGAAGGTATTTATTGCCGACGATGGCTGTAAGGAAGCACACTCGAATTTTGGTATTAGTTGTTATAAAAGCTATGATAATGGGGAGTTAGGATAGGATAAGCTAAACCTGAAGAACGTCATTTTAAAGGATAGCAGTTTCTGACGAAGTTCAGCTCATGGCAAAAGCTTACTTAAAACACTTACTTTTATTAAAAGCCGTACCGATTCTACTATATAACTTATAAATATTGAATACGAAGTAAGTGCACCATTCGGATTTCTCGTTTTTTCCATTTCAATGATATCAGTTTATGTTTTCCTTTCCTTTATTTCCACTTAACGGATTGCTTGCAATGAGTTGTCGTTTAAAAGTGAAGGAAACAAAAGTATTAGTACTGAAATCTAATAAACAGAAGGATAAAAGGATACAGCTCCCGGCGTTGATCAATCCGTGAGGGATGCGCCATGGACTCGACTTCATTAACCATCGTTGGAGGTGATTGAATGCATATCTGGCTTTTAAAATGACTCGCGGTGGCCTACCGATATATCGAACCTATGCTGCTATCCTCCCAGACAAGTTTGGTACCAATTTGCGACCCTAGAGGGATGGATGACTTGGTGAGCCACAGGTGCAGGGATCGATGCTCTGTGTGTGTTGCAGGGCGCTTGCGACCACTGCGCCACACGCGCTTTAATTGAAATCTAATAAGGATGAAATTCGTTATATTTTGCTGCTTATGGAATGTAACACAATCACAATCTCTTATATATTGCTGTCAAATGTGGCGTCTTCGTTAAACCGTTCACTTGAACGAAAAGAAAAAATTCAAATGAAATGTTAAAGGGCAAAGTGCATTACTGTTTTTAAGAAATGTCTACTTCCGTAGTCATCTATCTTCATTTTGTCAACGTATAGGCAACAATGGGGGATTCCGTTTATGTGTTTTTATTTAAACATTTTAAAAAGATCTTTTTCTTGGCTTCCCATTAAATGTAGGAAGAGGAACAACTTCGGGGTGCCTTCGTTAACCTGTTTTCCCTATTTGGGCCGTAGAAAAAGGCCCAAAAATATCGGCTCACTTTCAGGCTATCCTTATCTCCTATGTGATCCGCTGTCACTTGCCACAGTTTCATTGCGATGAGCATTTTTCGCAATGGCAACGTTCAATATGAGTAGAAACGTACTTTTTCAACTTTGGGAAAAAAAACTCTTCAACTTTGTTCGAAGACGTTTCGCTACCAACAAGTAGTTGTAATGGTTGACTCGACACAGGACAACTTCATGTGTTTGAGGTGATGTGGTCCCCAACAAAGTGGGTCCAATTTATGACAGTACACTCCTTCATCTGCCAGATAAATTTGATACCAAGACCATTAATACGTTGATTGCATGCTCAGAACTCAATAGTTTATCACCGCATTGTGGCCGATGGTAGTTTGCGACTGCCAAAATCTAATATACAGCCTAAGGTCCATCCAACCAGCCATATCGTCTGTGGTTTGGGATGGACATTTCCATTCGGAAGCCAAATGGAATGTAAATTTACGCTACGACATGCGGAACGAGTTACGTTGTAGAAGTCCTCCATCCAAATAAAAAAGCAGTAAGAGTGTTAAAAAGTTTTAGTCTTAACAAAAGCATAATGCCCTGAAGCGAACGAAGTCTGCTAAGGAGCTTTTGCTCTCGACGACAGAAGTGGTCCTTATTGGTCCGTGTTTGAGTTCCTAAATGATTAATATAAATACAGATGAAACATATGGTGCATATAAGTGCCGTAGATAGTTCTACCTCTAAATCGTTCAAAGTTTGTGGAGTTTCAGCCGAGGAAGTGCTACTTTTCGTGTTTCTGCACATGTACTTGGTGAAGTTATTAATGCACTTCTCTAACGATCCAAAACTCGAAGATCTTTTGCTCGATTCGACTATGTAATTTTCACCATCGCCATCGTTATTAGTAGTAGGTTATCGCGCAGTTTTGATAAATGGAAGTGTTCCCCAGAGACTACGTCCCGGAAGCCAAAGATGGACAGAAGAACGGCACGAGAACGCCATGAGAACGCCATGAGATGTGCGATTAATGCCTAGGAGATGGTCGAGCACTAATTTGTGATTCCTTATCGCGAAAGTCAGCGTATTGAAATGACAACATTACGAGATAATGCTCTAAAGGATGCTGCTAACCTCCACGTGGTTAACTTATCAAGTACTGGGGTTTGAAAGTTCAGAATGGTTGAATTCCTAGACACATCATACTTCAGAAAGTGATGAACATTGCCGTTAATGCAGTTTACAATGTTTTGACGACATGATAAACTCGTACCACGAGAAACATTTAAGACGCTGCTGGTTGATTCCTTCAAGCTGTTTGTCGATATCCTATAAAGGTCGCCAGAATTTTGTTTGCTTGGTTCATAGCTTGTTTGTTTAATAGCGTGATTGGTTTTCTCGTAGTTAATAATGTTGTGCTGCTCATGATTTGGAAGGAAAATGACGCGAATAAGTTTGACCTCTCACCGCCCACATGACATGATGTCCTCCTACTCGTCTTCTGTAGTTCACAGAGCTTTTTTGCTACAGTTTTTATATTCTCTGGGTAGAGTGCTAGACGTAGATCCAAGATTATGAGTAGCTCGTAGAAAGCTATTCTGTACACCCGCTAATTTACAAAAAGGGCATTTTTAACGAGATCACTTTGCGCCGAGAGACTATAGTTTTTGATGACACTAACTGTCCAATCAATGTTCGGCTTCGTTCACTGCGAGCTTCCAAATGTCACTCATAAAAAATCACAAAAGTCTCTCAGTTCCATGCACCGAACTTCCTCATCCCAGCTTCCTCACTATCACTCTATGAGAACTCGATCGACGCCCAACTCGAATTCGTCGGCGGCTGACAGGCCATAATAGGGCATCCTAGACCATTAAAATTAATCCAAAATTATAAGCAAGAAAATTCAACATAATAAGAAAGTGGATGGCATTAAGATGGAGGTTAGTGAGTAAGAATGAGAAGAAACGAAGGACATTGAAGTGACAAAAAAAGTACAGAATGACGACAACCTCACAAAAGACTGTCTTTACGAGTCATTCGAACATGAAAATATTGGCTACGTAGGATTGGTGGCGTCTCAGATCGTATCACGGAAATCATTCTGTCCTAGTTTCGCATAGGTTGCTGTATTGATCATAGCCTCTCGTCATATTGTCCTCCGTTCCGGAAAAGGAGACACGTCATTAAAATGGAAACGAACCGCCCGTCAACACATTGACAACTAGTTGACAAGTCGTTGAGTAGGAGAGTTGGTCCTTAGTCTTCTCTTTTCCCCCTGGTCTTTGACATCACTGTGGACGGCCAAGTTCCCAAAACACCTCCAAGTCAAAGATCAAAAAGAAGGGAACAGGTTTACTGTATCTGAGCAGCGTCTTTTTAAAAACCAACTTTCAGTTGACGTCCGCATGAAAAAACAGTATTTCCTTGGATTAGTAGACTATCACGAAGTTCGTATGAAAACCTACATTGAGGAAACCGGAAGTGGACTCTAATCAATCTGACACTGGAGAAGACGAAGTCTACGAAACCCTAGCAGAATAAAGGTTAATACCCGCCTCATGCTAGCTTAGTGATCGGAAAAAATACTTGGTTTAGTTTAGCGGTTCTTAATGTAATA